GTAAGTGAAATTTTCGTCCCAGAAGATATTTGCTAAAATGTTGCAACGACTTTACCACAGCTAGCAATTCGCGTCTTGTGACACAGTAGTTCCTTTCCGGTTTTGACAACGACTTGCTGAAGTACGCTATCACGACCTCTTGGTCACCATTACGTTGAGACAACACACCGCCAAGTCCTATATCACTTGCGTCTGTGTCAACTATAAATTCTTTGCTTGCATCAGGGTATCCCAAAATAGGTGTTTTGCACAGACGGTCCTTGAGCTCCTGGAATGCGATGTTACAACTTTCATCCCAGCAGAAATGTCGCTTCTCCTCGGTTAGCTTATGCAGAGGTTTGGCTATATCTGCAAAGTTCTTCACAAAACGTCGGTAATAGGAGCACAAACCCAAAAATGCTCTAACCTGCGTCTTGTCTTTTGGAACCGGCCAATCCTTTACAGCTGCGATTTTCTCTGGATCCGTGCGGATACCTTCTTCCGACACTACATATCCCAAAAAGTTGACTTGCCGTTTGAATAGTGAACATTTCTTCGGACTCAACTTGAGGTTGGCATTAATCTTCATGAGCACGCGTTCCAGGTTTTGAAGGTGTTCCTCAAACGTACGGCCCACGATGATGATGTCATCCAAGTAGACCAGACAGGCATCGCCAATTAGCCCGGTAAGTACAAGTTCCATCAGCCTTTCAAACGTTGCTGGAGCATTGCACAACCCAAACGGCATTACTTTAAATTGCCACAGACCCTTTCCCGTCGAGAACGCAGTTTTCTCCTTATCCTTAGGGTCAATTTCAACTTGCCAGTAGCCACTTTTTAGGTCCAGCGTGCTAAACCACTTTACTCCTGTAAGCATGTCCAACGTGTCGTCAATTCTCGGCAAGGGATGGCTATCCTTCTTAGTAACGTCGTTTAGACGGCGGTAGTCAACACAAAACCGCAAGCTACCATCCTTCTTCTTTACCAGTACCACGGGTGAACACCATGGACTAGATGAATGTTCAATAACACCATCCCTCACCATTCCCTCAATCATGATTTCCACTTCCTTTTCACGTGCTACCGGCAATCGTCTTGGCCGCTGACGGATAGGCAACTCTTCACCTGTGTTTATTTTGTGTTGAACTAAACCAGTCTTTCCTATGTCAGCATCGTTTGATGAGAATACATCGGCGTACTCGAGTAACAACTTCTTCGCCTTGACCAATTCGTTCGGGGACAGAACACTGCGACAGTCTTCCAAAAGTGTGGTCACTCTCGTTTCTGAATCCTTGCTGGGGGTCCCACACAATATATATTGGCACTGACGTAACCAATCCACTTCCTCACAAGTACCAACCAGTGTACCTTTTTCTATAATCCGTTCCCGGTCGCAAAGGTTCAGCACACGTACTCCTGAGATGTCAGTGGTCCTGACCAAGGTTCGAGCTACTTTCCATGGAAGGTTATTGTTTACCCTTTCCACAAGTACACAACGGTGAGCTTGCCCAGCGTTTCGAGGAAGACTAACCGGAACAATCGTTTCCGATCTCGGCGGAAGAACAATCTTCTTGATGCTGTACACGTTCCCTGGTAACGCACCTTCCATAAAAAGTTCCTCCTGTCCACATTTCAAAACACCTTGCTTAACGTCGATCTCGCAACAATTATTCCTCATAAAGTCTAAGCCTAGGATGCAGTCGTCCATTATATCAGCCACGATGACATTATGCAGGTAGATCACGTTGCCTAGCTTCAACTCCATCTCCTTCTCTCCACGGACGGGTATACGCTGACCGGTGGCTGTTACCAAATTAATGCGTTCTCGGTTGTATGCGGAGTCCCCAAGGAACTGACTTATAAGTTGGGAACTAACAACCGTACGAGAGGCTCCAGTGTCTATGGTCAGTTTACACGGCATTCCGTTGACCTCGCCCTTGATGATTAGACTGTTCCCATCATGGGTTTGTGAGATCGAGATCCTTGGGGCTCTTTTAACATCAGCCAGTACCCGCCCCGCAGTTCTGGCTTTTACTCGTTTCCCTGCTGCTGCTGGGCGGTGCTGTTGGCCGCACTACCCTCCTGAAATCGTTCACCTTCCTTTTCTAGGGTTCGCTTAGGGCAGCTGGATCGAAGATGGCCCTTTTCCCCACAGCCATAGCACCTAGGGCTGTATCCTCTGTTGCGGTCGCGAACTGTAGCTGCTGCAACCTCCCTGATGCGATGGGAACGATGATCCTGCCGCACGGCTTCCACCTCCAGTGCATGGACCAAGGCGTTCTTAAGCGTGTCGTGGTGCCCGAGTCTCACAGCAGCTCTGACTTCAAGGTCGCGGATGCCGTCGATGAATGTCTGAACCAGGTTCCCTTCAATGAGCGCAGGTCGTTTAGCGTTTTCTTCACGTCAGCCATCACGTTGTGTACCCGATTGTTCACATGGTTGATTCGGGTTTCATGTTCTTCGATTCGGGTATCAGCTTCCGACAGGCGGTTGTCGTGTTGAGCAACCCTATCCTACACGTCCCTTATCTCTTTCCCAAAGGTAGCGTGAAGGTCCTTCATGAGGAGCATCTGCTCTTCCGACCGACGAGCCTGTTCCGCCTGCTGACGGGCCTGTTCCTCTTGTCCGCTCTGCAGCTGCTCTTTCAACTGACGGACCTGTTCCTCCTGTCGGCGGGCCTGTTCCTCCTGTCGGCGAGCCTGTTCCTCCTGCTGCTCTTTCAACAAACGGGCCTGTTCCTCTCGTCCGCGCTGCAGCTGCTAGATGTAGGAGCTAATGACGGGCCCTCAGCCTCCGTGGCTGGCAGTTGGCCCTCCGACATCTGCGCCGTTGCACCACCAAATCTCCGCTGGTCCGTCTCATGCTGGCGTTGACTGCGGGTACGGACACCCTCCGTTTCTTCCTTAGGTAAAATCGGCATGATTTTATCCCACTTCTGACACCAATTGTTACGAGCTTGAGGTTCGTGACAATAAAAATTGCCGATAAAATTACCTAAATTAACACTTTAATTTACTTTACACAAATTAAAGTTAAAAACACTAATAATTAAACACACTTATCCACTTTATTCCGCTCTGAAGCTTCGCTTGTTTCGCCAAATCAACACTACCCCCATCGCATCTTGCAGCGCCTATATATTTAAATTAGCAAAGAAATATCCATAATGTTCAAGTAAACACACGCAAGGTACCGAGCGTTCGAGTTTCGACTAGGCGCTGTCGGTTGAGTGATTTGTGATGTCATTTTCTCAATGCTCCCCTCGCTCTCGTTCCTGACACTAGATGGCGCTAGTTGACTTATTCATGCAACAATATTTTGAATTATATATTGATTTCCAGAAAGTTAACAAAACTTTACAGGCAAAAGTACGCCTTCAGCTTGTAAAACTTACACTATTTACATGCGCAAATTTATTACAATCATTATCCGATCAGCTTAAAAATTTATGTATAAATTTCTGAAATATTGAAACGCGCTCTAAAAAAACCTTCCACCTGATAGCTCAAGGCTCATACAATCTGTCACAGATTACCAGCGTAAAATAACAGTCTAATGCTATGCTGTATTTCGCATGGTGAGTGTAGAGGACCGGACATCCTTTTTACTGGAAACGAGGCATTCCATCTTAGTCCTCAGAAGTGACAACGCATCTTCATTTTGTTTCTCAATCGAGGATAAATGTAGATGCCTATGGGCCAAAGCATCCACCTACCATCAGGTGAACTGTGCTCATTTGTCACCATTATTCTATATAAAAAAGTTATTCAATTACACGATTATGTAAATTCCATAATCAAGCTAATTTATGTAAAATAATGTGATAAGATAAATTACCATCAGCTTATCCAAACGATAGACAACCTGATGATTTCTTAAATTTACGCGAACACTACACATTGAATAAAACTAAATTTACGTTTAACGCGATAAAATCCGTAAATTTAGTTTTATTCAATGATAGACAACCTGACTTCGTCTGCAGTAATTGATGAAAAACTAACAGAAACAGAAACTATTTTTATTCGATATGGATTATAAACAATACATATTTAAAGTCACTCTTTTGTTTAATTACCACCAGTTCGGAAAAAAAAACCTCTGTCCTGGAAAGAACCAGCAAGAAATCCAGCGGAGCTTCTTTCAGAGAATAAACAGCTTACAATCATGTTTTTTACACAATTAACAACAAAAAACAAATTAGAAATAGCTTACTAGCGTTCACCTCGTTCCCAGAGGTTGTTATCATCCATAAATTCCTTAATATTATAATAATCCTTTTTATACAATTTAATAAATTTTTTGAACCTTCACGTGAAACTTTGTATATATTGTGTATTTTCGTTTGTATATTTGTTATATTTTAGAGATTACATAATATTATCTACAGTTTTTATTTCCGGAATAGCACAAATGTCAGAAAGATATCAACTGAGCTCCGAAATACCTTTTATTCTCAAATATTTGCTGCTATAATCTGTAAACATCGTTGTAAATAAGACACTAAGTAAAATCGTTCTCTTTTCCATGCACGAAAAATACCATCTAGAATATGAATAAACGTTATCTTCATCTAAATTATATAAGCTAAAATGATATATTACCTAAAAAACTTTTAAGCCAATTTTTTCACTCGGTTTTTATTAAAGCCTGAAGGTATAGCAGCTCTAGCTTTCTATTGTTTTACTAATTTAAAAAGCACACATACGAAGAGTTAGAGGCGAATAATAGAATTAAATCACTTGGAGATAATTGGAAAATGATAGTCATCAAATCAGCGCCCATGTCCTGTCCACGCATTTGGACAGTTTATAATAGACGTTATATGTTTGATGAAAACAAAAAGGTGTAGGTAAATAAAAGAAGAATTCATTTTTTTTATCAACATCAACATAAAATCAAAATAATGACGTAATTAAAAATAAAATTTAAATGGTACATGATATAAATAACGGAAATTTATATAAATACAAAAAAATTCATGTAGGCATTTTATTCACCTTTTTCCTACTCGTAAAATATCACAGTTTTCCCTGCATGAAAGGTTTAAGGTACTTATGGAAGGTTTCGTTAACTGGTTCCGCATTGAGAGGACTCTTCATAGCTTCTTCCATTAAACGTTCGTAAACTCGGCCGTCGTATGAACCTAAAGTTGACTGCAAAATCTAAAAAAATTTTTTTAATAATTAGTGAATTTAAAGTTGTTTTCGATCGCACAATCGGACAAATAAAATAAGAAAAAAGAATTGACTAAAAGTTTGAAAAACGGATCACATAAAATTACTTTAAAAAAAACGGATCATACGAATACATGCTTTATTCAAAACGCTTCTTATTTTGTGTTTATTGTAATATTAAATAAACTTTATTGCATTTGATCATGATAATGTTTGTTTAAAACAAATGTAAAATGTAACCAGCCATGCCGACATGCAGCCATGTAGACAGCGCCATCTAGTATCGAATTGAAGAATTAAGCTTTCTGGAAGCCCCAAACTCGAACTTTCTGCGCTTGGTCGGTTGGCGCGCGTATTTACTCGAATATTCTGGAATATTCTAGATGTTTTCGTGGAAGAGCCCTATATAAAGGCGCTGCAATACGCGATCGGGTAAGTATTGAATTTGGCGAGACAATCGAAACTTCGGAGCGGAATAAAGTGAATCAGTGTGATTAATTATTAGTGTTTTAAGTTTAAATTTGTGTAAAGAAAATTAAAGTGTTAATTTAGGTAATTTTATCGGCAATTTTTATTGTCACGAACCTCAAGCTCGTAACAATTGGTGTCAGAAGTGGAAATAAAATCATGCCGATTTTACCTAAGGAGGAAACGGAGGGTGTCGGGTACGGCCCCGAAGTCAACGCCAGCAGGAGATGGACCAAAGAAGATTTGGTGGTGCAACATCGCAGACATCGGAGGGCCAGCCACCGGCTGCAGGCCAGTCAGTAGCTCCTACATCTGCAGAACCTGACTTAGGTGCTCTGATGGTGATGCTGCAGGAACAGGCTCGCCGACAGGAGAAACAGGCTCGCCAGCAGGCGGAACAGGCACGCCGATTGGAAGAGCAGCTGCGGGGCGGACAAGAGGAACAGGCTCGTTGGTTGAAAGAGCAGAAGGAGGAACAGGCCCGCCGACAGTAAGACCAGGTTCGTCGTTTGGAGGAGCAGCTGCGGGGCGGACAAGAGGAACAGGCCCGTCAGTTGGAAGAGCAGATGCTCGTCATGAAGGACCTTCACGCTACCTTCGGGAAGGAGATAAAGGAGGTGAAGGATAGGGTTGCTCAGATTGACAACCGCCTGTCGGAAGCTGAAAACCAAATCACGAAGGCTGAAAACCTAATCGAGAAAGCTGAAACCCGAATCGACCAAGTAAACAATCTTCTTTTTTAGCAAGTCCCAGACATGCTCTATCGGATTCATATCGGGGGAATTTGCTGGCCACTGCATCACCGGTATACCTACGTGGCTCAGATATGCCCGTACCGATTGTGCACTATGAACACGAGCATTATCTTGCATTAGAATAAAGTCGTCACCAATAAATGGGGCAAATGGTACAACACGTTCTTCTAAAATGTCTCTGATGTATCGATCTGCTGTCATGGTCCCTCCTGTGACTATCACTAACTCCGTGCGAGCTCCCAAACATATCCCTCCCCAAACCATAATCGAGCCGCCACCATAAGCCACTGTGTGTTCAAAATTAGACTGTATGTGGCGTTCTCCTTTGCGTCTCCATATTCGCTGTCTCCCATCGATTTGTTTTAAAAGAACTCTGCACTCATCAGTAAAGAGAACCTGCTGCCATTCGTTCAAATCCCAATGACGATGTTCTCGCGCATAGCTTAATCGGTTTACGCGGTGACGTCTCTCAAGTTTTGGGCCTTTGGCAGGTATATACGACCCTAAACCAACTTCTTCAAATCTCCTGCGAACTGTACTGTAAAAATGCAGTTACGTTGTCTGATGGTAAAATTGTAAGAGTATCGTCTAGGTGCAGTAAGGAGGGCTTTCTCCTCAAAGTCTTCCATGAATATATTGGCGACAATGGGAGATACAGGTGAGCCCACCGCAACACCATCTATTTTCTTGTAAAACTCTTCCTTCCACAATAGACCGCCAGATGTAAGGCAATGTTTGAGTAGTACTGCAAATTCTGCTGGCATGTTATTTTCCTCTAGTTTGGCTATAAGGTTAGGCATGTAAATAGAGACTGAACATCAAAACTGTCCATGGTTTCTATGTCAGTAAGAGTCTTTTATCTCACTGACAAAATGGTGTGCTCTTGTGTGTCCTCTGAGTGGTGATAATATTTTAGCTAAGTGTTGAGCCAATCTGTAAGTTGGTGAATCAATCTAACTCACTATTGGACGTAATGGAGCGTTCGGTTTGAGTATTTTCGATAACCCATACAACTTCGGTGGTTTGGCACATGAAAGTATTATCGAATTAACGTCTAGATTCAATTTCTCGGAGTATTTCTTAATTAGATCGCTAGCTGTTTTAAGCGTATAGTTGTTGGGTCTGTTTTGACCGTCCGGTCCTTTTTGACTGTTTTCGGTGTGTAGTTTTATCCGACAAAAGTTGTTGTATTTTAAAATTGTAAGCTGACGTATCCATTATAAACATTGCATTACCTTTATCTGCGCGGAGAATCGTAAGCTCTGGTCTGTTGCGTAAGTTTTTCAACGCGTTAAATTAATTTTTGGGAAAATTTAATTTCGGCGCTGAACTTCGATGTAACATAGACGAAATGTCTTGACGTATAGCCTCTAAATCTTCATTACCAATATTATTTTTATACAGACAATCCTCAACACTACAGATAATGTCCTCATACGGTATTTTTCGCGGTGTTATTTTGTATTTATAGCTGTTATTTAGTTGTATAAGTTAATTGTTGCTCTGATAACATGTGATAGAAAATAAATACCAAATTGAAATTAAAAAATCTGTACCATGAGTGAAATTTGATATCTGAACAATATAAGATTTTAGTACCTATTTCTACCCACTGTGTAAATTTATTATTATATTGGGTACGTTGTTAAATAAAAAGAAAAAATGCACAAATATTTTCAGTAATTCTGACGTTATGACGTTTCGAACTAATTTGTCTATTTTCAAGACTTAGTACGAAATAGGTACCTATTATATATTGCTTATAGATTTTTTTAAATACACGTAATATAGAAAGTTACGACCAAACATATTTTATAGCCGTTCCATTTTGTAGAAGAAAAGATTGCAAGGCTTTAAAGGGGTTTTTCACATGAAACAAGTATGATAAAAGCAATTAGGATTAATACAAATCTTGTTATACGTATATCGGACTAATTATGACACAAGCCGTGTTCTTACTCCATACATCATGTATATAAAAACTTGTTCACAACTCTACTTGTTCACAAGTTACACTTTAAAAGAAAGTTTTTACAAGTTGGTGTAAATTACGTTTATCAAAAAAATCTACAGGGCTTGTAAAATTTAACACTTGTAGGTTCTACTTGTAAGTTGTTTTTTTTTTGCTTTTTATTGAATATCCTTATTTAAACGCCTAGCTGTATGGTATATTGTCTTTGCCTAATTTTGATGGGACATTAAAAAAAGTAGTGGCACAGGTAGACAAAGTATTCCCGCCTTTTATTTATAACTTGATTGAAGTTTATTCGCGGTGAGATTTTGCGATTTCTTGAAAAATGAGTAGAAATGATAATAAAATAACGGTTTTACAACTGATTCGCGACAAAAAAAGACATTTCATTTGTTGCATTTAGCGATAGGATGTCCAAACAAAAAAAAATAGAAGAGTGGAAGAATATTTTAATTACATGCATTGAGCTATTATGTACTACGTACTAGAGGCGACACTGCATTCAATTACTCTGTTCCACTCAACTGCGGTGCATATCAGTCACTTGCTAGGCGCTTGTGGAGTTGTCACGTGTTGTGTTGATTTTAAAAAATCTCGTGATAAAAATATGCCGTCGTGTGTACTTAGATATTGCACAAATAATTCAAGAAATGTCAGTAAAACCAAGGAATTATTTTTCATCGGTTAATAAGACACTTAATCAATAAAAAGCATTTTAGATTAATAATAAAACAAATTATTCCTAAGATGCCATCTCGTGTCTTGGAATATAGATTATGAAATTAATATGTTCAGATGCGACATTTCTGTGGGTACTTAAGTATAGGACGAAAATATTATTATACACATATTTTTTTTGTAGAAATATATATAAGTTATTTTAATTAGACTAATTTTTTCATATTTAAATCTGCTTAATATTATTCTTTTATTTTATTTTTAGGTTTCCACATCAAAGTCAGAGTGGAATTAATTCGTCCATTTTTAACCCTCGCGTGTCCAGCATTTATGAACGACTTATTCTAATTTAAATAAATATATTTGTAATTTAAATGTTATGTTAATAAGTTTTGTTATCATACATTTAGTACGTTTTTTATATTTGACATAGATACCTTTTAAATTATTCAGATAAAAATATCATTAAAATGTAATTGTGATATAATATTATGTAATATTATATTAAATAAGCAAATATAATATACAAAATAAATGACAAAATTTAAATATTGTTTTCGATATAATTTACCTATTTAACAATACAATCTATTATTACCTACGGATCATTCTACCTATGTTTATTCTAGGATAAAAAAATAACCGCGCGAACACAGAGTAGCGCACGTTTTTGTTTGAGATAGCTGTTCTAGTACGTAAGTACTTCTACTACTTCAATGATTACATGTCAGTCGCTTGGTCTGCTACCTGCAGGAAAAGATTACACCTATATCCAAGATACATTTTACTCAAATTTAAAACCCCTTGTGCAATAAATCTCCAGCCATTTTCAAATTGTTTGAGATAGCTGTTCTAGTACGTAAGTACATATTACTTCAATGATTACATGTCAGTCGCTTGGTCTGCTACCTGCAGGAAAAGATTACACCTATATCCAAGATACATTTTACTCAAATTTAAAACCCCTTGTGCAATAGATCTCCAGCCATTTTCAAATTGCTAATATAACTGACTGTTTCTTAAAACTCTATTGTCATGGGTATTTCCAGGCTAATTTTCATAGGAATAGTAAAACTTTTTCTCAGGACCGCACACAACCAAATAGT